CACACATGCGAGGATTAAGTTATCTGATATCGACTGGTCAGTTTTTATGATGTTAAAAATCACGCTTACTCTCAATGGAAACTCGGCCCCTCGATGCATTGATTTGATGAAGCCCATACCTACCATGCCTATTGCCTACCTATTTTGATTTACCCATTAATAAGCTAAGAAATAGTTTCCGTTGGAATGTAATAAAAAATGTACCTACAAGTTCAGCTCCTTTTACTGCTTTCTTAGCTTTTCAGGAATATAAAAACTAAGGAAATCAAAGCATGGAACAATTGTGAGGAAAATAATTAAAAACGCGTGATGTTCTGTTCGTTATTTGGTGACATCAGATTTGATGATGTTAAAGAAACATAGGTGTACCTACGAGTAAGAAATTCGGCCAGGAAAAAAAACGAAACGTAGGTACAGCATCAGTCCGACGCGTTTGGATTTTTCGTGATGTGTTCTCTGGCCCGTGGACCGTTGAATGCAATTTGAATGTTTTAAATGCTGAATGCATATGCCACTGCGTGCATCAAATATATGGGTCTGTATGTATGGACCGAACAGAATGGATGATACCTGCAAAGCTACAATGTCGCACGTCACATGCACAATAAAAAGTTTGTGTTCTCGCTTTGAAGTCTTCACCTACACACCGAAGGGGGTCCGGGCCAACTTCCCATCGACACAGAGGGTGCGGATGTTCGCCCCAAACCATGGGAATGAAGCAGCCTAGCGACAAACGGTAAACGGCTTTAGATACAGGTGGAATAGGACTGCCATTTCACAAAGGTCATTTTACACTGTAAACTCATTTCAACAAACGTTTGTTACTTTTACAAGGAAAATTATTTAGCGCAAATCCCCGCACCCTTTGCCATGTCATCGAACGAGCCTATTGTTTGTCATGGTAGTTTTTCTTACAACCCACTCACATGTAGTTCGTTAGACTAGCTACCAAAGTTTGCTTTGTCATTGTTGTGTGAACGACTGTTTTCCTAGTTATAATCATGCGGCTACCAGGTAAAGACCTGCGCATGTTTGCATTTAACAGGGCTGAGCCGTGTACTTGTTAAGTCAAATCAATGCAAATCTTAGTTAGCATAGTAATGTCTACGTGCAGCAGACCTGTACTTGTAAGCAATCTACTAGTCTCAGGTTTGTAACGTTTTACAAAGACCTCCCTTGTATTCGTCAGTTTTCTCCACAAATTCGCCGCTCTGCAGTCTCATTATTACAGCAAAACAGCATTACTGAAAGTAGGTCATGTATTTAAAATGGTACATACACATTACACACACAATGGTGATAACACTCATGACCCAAGGGGCAAGGGCAATAACGCATGCGAAAAAGCAATGAGCGTCAACACTTACCGAGTACACTGTACCCATTCAAATCTAAGGGGCATTCAAATTCATTAGCCCCTTGGAATTCAGGTGCTTTTTCATTTTTAGAATTATTGAGTTTCTGCAGTTTGCTGTCTTCAGTGTAGCGACCCTTGCTTGCAAGCTGGAGCTTTCGCTCCTGATGAAAGCCTGAAAGAAAGCATCGCTATATTATAGCATATGCAGAACAATATGGCCTGGAGCAGAACACATTGTGCTTGCTTCCATACATCACGCACTTATTTAGCAAATTTATCTGATTCAATCTGCATTACTATCAGTTGAAAGACATATACATTTCATTAAAAAAATGACAAAAACGACCGAACACTGTTAATCACCTACCATTTTCACGGAAGTGCGCAGGAGGCCACATCACTGCACGGCGGTTGGCGCGCAACTGAAACTTTCAAAATGAAACGGCCGGAAACGTTTTTGGCGCCACCTATATAACAAGTAACAGCTTTGTATATGTTACTACTAACACGTCTAACTAGCGTAACTAAGTCCGTGTTGCAAAGGTGTAGCTGATACCTTTGACAAGGACATAGATTACATAAGTATGTATCAGTATTGTTGCAATGGTGTAGCTGGTTCTTTCGACAAGGATATAAATTACAAATCATAAGCAAATCTATGTTCCATATTACGAATAAGACCCTGGTAGTTTTCACAATAGCCTCCATAATCCTCGTCAATTTTATGAATGGTCGACTGGGTGCTGGGGCTGATACTAATATTTGCCCTGTTGATTCAACCAACTGTGACAAGATATTTGTCGTTCGACATAACCTTTATTAGTATTTTTGACAAACGCTCGTCATTGTACGACAACCCCTTGTCAAAATGAGTTTACAGTGTAGGTCAGATCAGAGATCACGTCGCAGGAGTCATGTGTACATGATGCATTAGAGAAAATTAAAGCTTTTACGAATAACTTTAAAACAAATCAAGCTTAACCAAAAAATAGAACATCAATCGGGAAAACATTTTTGATTTCCCTCGAAAAGTCAAGGCTAAACCTTCGGTCAAGTGACGTCAAAGGTAAATGATGGCCAAAATAAGTGAAAATACGAAGCGTCTTGACAAGTTAAACACAATATGACAAGTGACAACGCCCAGAGCTGAACCACATTTATGTGGGAAGTAGGTAGGTTAGTAGCAAATTAACTAGAAGATGTATACCTACAGCTAAAATATGAATGATACGAGCTGAGCGCTGCAACTTTGCGACCTTAGGGCTCACCAGTATATCGTATGTTCAAACGTTCTAGCAAGCTAGGGATTTAGCAAACGCACTATTTTCCCTCAACACATTGCCCTTTTTATAGTAATCCTTCGGAGAACTAGGCGAGCAAGCACCTGAACCCAATCAATTTGGCAAATTCGCGATAGTTTACCGCCAACAGACTGCCGACTGCACCGAGTGATTCACACACCACGCCGCTGCTACGACCTCCACCGTTCACTCAGATAGGACTCGCGCTCGCCGCGATGCTGTGACCTCTCGGTTCCACGGTTCGTGCGCGCGCCCTGCGACCGATGGGAGTGGCCACCCAGACACCCAGTCTGTGGCCGACTGGCGTGCTGCTTATGGCGGCGGCGTAGCGTCTTATTAGCGCCCCTCGCGTGTGTCGTGGGAGGCCGGGCAGAGGGGCATCCAAGCACCGACAGACACGAGTCGTAAGACTAAATAAAAGGTCGATAGCACCCCTGGGTAAATTGGCTGGGTGCAATGGTCTGGAATCGAAGTTATAGCATTCATAGATTAAAGTCTGTCTTAAAACCCTTGCCCCGTAGGAGGGGCCGAAACGCCCCCCCCCCTGTCCTTTTCGGTCGATATCTCCTAAACGGCTAAAGATATCGCCACCAAACTTTCAGGATTCCTCCGGGCATCAATTTTACACATTGTGACCAAAAATTTGTCCAGACCCTATGATAGGTTGGCCACAAATGACGTCAGAATGACGTCATGTTCTGCCATTTTCGACCGAAAAAAGACCTTCGCGAGAAGAGCTGTCAGGCCCACAGCTTTGAAGATACAGAAAAATGATGAAGACATAAAAGGTGTAAAATTGACAGGGCTACAAAACTGCGATCTCGAATTTTTGAATTTTTTGAGTTTTGACCCCCAAAAATCAAAAATGCATTTTTTTATATGTTAGCCAAAAAAAAATTCCAAAAAGTTTTTTGAGTTTCGAAAAAACGGAATGTATGTGATAGTACCTACCGTCTTCTATTTCTATCTACATACCAAATTTCAGATCGATATCTCCTTTTTTGGTAAAGTTATAGCGAAAAAAACTCTTCAAAAATGATAACGTCAAATTTACAAACTCAATTTTAGGCAATTCTAGACCACGTAGGGCAAAACAAAGACCACCATTGGACTCCCCGTGACAAGCTGCATCGAATGGATACCCATTTTATGCAAAAATATCAACTTTGAAATTTGACCTAATTTTACCTGACCTTGACCTGACCTTGACCTGACCTTCACTGGAACATAATCTCAACTGACCCCAAAGGCTGCCTGACCCAAATAATCGCATTTGTCATGTAAAATGGACCATAAACATGTATCACACGACACTTTCATATTGTGACCCCCAGTGACCTGACCTCTGTGACCTGACCTGGTATCAGTGACCTCAGATAGCGAAGTATGTGTTTGACGAACAATGTACCATCGATGGTTTTCAATAACTTACTAATTTACTCGATTTCACAACACATTTCTTGAAATGCCTGTGAACGGTGAAAATCTGACATTTGACCTGACCTGTGACGTCATCAGTTTGACCTAGGTCAATGAAATTTGGTCACAAGGTAGTTCTTTGGTGGGGCTATCAAACACCGTTTGGATTTTGAAAATCGGCCGGTAAATTTCCGAGGGGGCCGAAACGCCCCCCCCCCCCCCCTACGGGTGGTAGGGTCCGCCGGTAGCCCTACGGGGCGCGGGTTAAAAGTACCGCGCAAAGTCACGATGGAATGTGGACCCATCAAGCCTGACCGAAGAAGGGCCTGCTATAATTTGAAAGTCACCGAATCCATTGACCTGGGGAATGGACGAGGATGTCAATTGCTTCGGTGACTCAAATTTAGCAGGCCCTTCCTCGGTCAGGCTTGATGGTTCCACCGTTAGGTACTTTGCGCAGTACTTAAAAGACAGACTGTACACAACGACAACAACACTAGGTGGGCATAAAAGCTGGCTATTGTTCTTTTTCGTGTTGCTTCAATATTTTAACTTTTTATTTGATCCATTTCCATCTCAGCATTTTATCAGGTTTTTTTTTTCGCCATGGAGGAGTTTCCAATTTCCATTATCAAAGCAGCTGTTGAATGATGAATCATACTGTATGCGGGCACATGTACGAGCGTATGCCTATCGTAGTGTTTGCAATCAGCGACTTAACATCAGCGATATGGAAATAGAAAGCACCCAAAGTCGCGGCAAGCATGACGGCGAAAGGCTATCGCCTTCAATCACTCTGCCTGATTCACGACCGCCAGCTTTCCATTCGCACAGGAGGGGTGGGGCCATCCGATCGACCCAGGCTGCCAGCGGAAGTGTGCCCGACTCCAATCGACACAGGAAGTCGAATAGGTGTGCCGAGTGTGACCGGGGCGGGTCAGGCGCGCACCTCCAGTCGGCCAGTCTTCCGTCGACGCAGCCACAATGTGGAAGCTTGTCGTGAGTTGGCAGCAGTGGGGAGCGAAATCAAAGGTTGTGGCTAACTTTGCTCTCTACTTATTTTTTATGCGTACTTTCATTCGGATAAGCTTTTGTCTCCATCTAAAGACAGCGGCGCTTCAAAGTTAGATTGACATGATCGTGTAATAGTTGTTGAGGCTGGAGGGGCCGTGTATGACGCTGCTTTCTGCTGCAGGTGCTCCTTGTAGCCGTCGGCTCTGTCCGGTGGCAGAGTGGACAGGCAGCCTCCTATCCGCCGCCGGGTGCACCCAAAGGCAGCGACCCCGGCGGCCCAGCCCCTTACAACAAACCTCTTGGAGAAATCTCCGACAGCCAGTCTCGTGACGGAGGGCAATATGACGGCAGTTCCTACAGCAGCAGCAGCAGCAGCAGCAGCAGCAGCAGTGCTGGGTGAGTGCACGTGCCTCATAATCCGATAATCCTACAGGTGCACGCATATTGTGTCATTATGTGCCATATGCGAGGATGAGTGAGTTGGTTTTACAATTCAGGTGCTGTAATATTTACCCATACACCAGCACCACTGAGACGACAGAGCGAAAATTCATGAAAATATGGATATTATTTTGTTTCCGGAGCATTGTTTTTGAAGAAGGTAATAAATTTACGACTAAACGTCTTATTTGCACTTCGCTTATCAACAAAACTGACAACAGAGTGATTTCTTTACAGATCGCAGCTTTCTTTTCTCTCGCCCGATAAAGTGTTCGCCATCCGGCGCCTGAGTGAGTCCATCCGACTTCACACCGATGCGGCGGCGGCTCCGTTCTATCCGGATTTCCAGCCTGGCGTTCCGGCGCCGCCCCACCCCGGCCCCGGCTGGATCTGGCCAGCCGGGCCGCAGTATTGGGGGGCTAGCGGCACGCGCTACAATGGAAACGCGGGCACCAGCTACCCTGGAAACGGTGGTACTTACTACAGTGGAAACGGAGACACCCGCTACTCAGGAGCCAGCGGCACGCGCCACACTGCAAACGGCGGCACCACCTATTCTGGCAACGTCGCCCCATACTACCCTGGACCGTACCAGCCTGCAGGTGCGGTGAGCGGCCCCAGAAACAGCCGGGCTCCGGGAGCGGCTGGTGCTGACTCCGCCGGAGACGAGGGTGCTGAAGAGCCGCGCGTTGGGACGGTGACCGCGGCCTGAGCGGTGATGAGAGCTGTCCGGTGGCCCGAGGCTGAGAGAAAACGATGACCGTCGACCGGGCTTTGAGAGGGGGACTGTCACTGTAGCCTGCCTGTGGCTAGGTGGACAAAGTTACTGAGATACGGAGATGGCGGGGGAATCGGGAGATGGCCTCTTGCACCAAGTTACCTAGCTAGGTGAAACCGAAAATTGGAAAAACTATTTCATAATTAGCCAGCCTACGGTGGAAAATTATTTTACGCCAGCTCATAACGTAAACCTATAGGGCTAGGCGCTTGGCAGAATTTATCGATAAATTGTCGCGGTAGAGTCTTTGAGTCCAAAGATCGGTGGAGGACTTTGGTGCAGGAGGCTGGTACGGTTGTTTAGCGATTATTGTTTACCCATCTATAACCTCAAAGAATAAAGTGTATTGCATGGCAAAGAAAGGTAACAGAATGGGCCTGTTCCAGCGCCTCCAGAAACCTCCAGAAAGCTCCAGAAAGCTCTAGAATCCTCCAGAGAGCGTTCCAGCGCCTCCAGAAAGCTCCAGAAAGCTCTCGCCAAAGCTCCAGAAACCTCCAGTAGCCTCCAGAGAGTTGAGAGGTCCAAATTTCTCTGGAGGCTCTGGTCTACAATTATGGTGCACATGTGACAATCACGAATGTAAACAAAGGACATTTGACTGATTATTTTACAACTTGAATGTAAAGAAAATTACATTGCTATAATTTTATTTATCTTTTTAACTAAAATTGAAAACCAATTTCGCCTTTCAAGAGAGAACAATCGTCATTCTTTTGGTATCTATGACGCCAATCTCCAGAAATCTCCAGATTGCGTTCCAGCGCCTCCAGTAAAACCTCTGGTAGAGCCTCCAGTCAAGAATTTCTTCTGGAGGCGCTGGAACAGGCCCAATGTGGCAGCTATTCTGGAAGCTGTTTCCTGAGACGTTTAACAACGCAGTGTACAAGTGGCGCAATTGATTCATAAACCACCCACCTCCTTATGAGAAAAAGCTCTCGTGTTTTTTGTGACGTAGCTGTCTGTTCTTACTTCCTAAATTACGATTGATTCGTGTTGCATATGTATATGTTTAGTATTAGATGAAATATTATTGCCTATACCCTTTCCATATTTATTCCTGTTGTTATGGGCTATTGAATAAAGCAACTAGAGCAAATTTTATATGTGCCCTCCCTTCAAGATTGTGACGTCATTGAAACTCTAAACAAATTGTAGGTACCAGTGAAGTGCATCCTTGGTGTATTTCAATGTTGTCCTCTCGACGCGCGCGCGTGTCGGCGCAAGTTGTCTATTGAAAGCGCTAATAGATATAATTTAAGTAAGATAATCCGTAGTTAGGAAGGAATTTTTGTTGAGAAATTAAGGTAAGTTGTGAAACTCTTCTCGTTTCGTTACCACAATTGCAAAAATATGTTAAGCTATGGACTCAAATTAAACTGTTAGGTGACACCTTGACCTACCTTGGCTTAAAATGAGGGTCACCCAATTGATCAAATAATACCATTGCGGTATCATCTGAGTCATCTGTGATCTGTACCCTTTGCCCACATCGTGCCATTGCTCACCGCCAACCTTGCCGTCGCCGGGCCGGGGCTGTCTGAACACCCCTCGACCAACTCAGCTCCCGTGCCACGTAGCAACGGAAGGTTGAGGTAGTGGCATTCAAAATGGCTTTGTAAATCATGATAGAAACGTTTCAGTCATTTCTTAGGTCAGGTTATAGGTCAAATCACCAGACTCCAGAGTCCAGAGGTTGGTACACTCCTAGCAGACGTTGCCCTTAGCACTGTTCGGCGGGCGGCTAGTACTCTTGCCGGCGCACATATACGTGCTGGTTGCCCCGGCAACGGGCTATTGACCAATGAGAAGCGCGCTCTGGGAGGGCTCTGGTATTAACTGGATTTTTTGCCAGCTGGCGCCGTATGGTGGCGCTAGCAGAGCTTCTTACATATCAATGCTAGATATAAAAGAATAAATATTTACCAATCAATTTTTCAATTAAAGCCATTTGAAATATTTATGTCCATCCTACTACCGCGCTTATATCTAAAATTAAATACCTTTCGTGCGTCGCCAGCTGGCCAGCCAGCTGACGCAATCCAGTTTTTACCAAAGCCCCTCTGGGAGGCACAGGTATATGAAAAACCGCAGTGACGTTGCACTTTCCTCGCCTCTTATTGATCAATAGCCTGTTGCCGGGGCAACCAGCACATGTGAGCACCAGCAAGAGTATTTGCTGGCCACCGAACAGGGCCCTTGCTGCCATATCTATAATCTACATTCTCATGTGTGCCGCATTATCTTTTCACAGCTAAATATATAACAAAACAACCTAACCTGACCTAACCCTACCTACAGCTGTTATATATATATATATATATATATATATATATATATATATATATAATATATATATATATATATATATATATATATATATATATATATATATATATATATATATATATATATATATATATATATATATATATATATGTATTAGGTCTGATTGCCAAAGTGATTATAAAAAAACATACCACACAATGTATTATGACCTGATTTCATATCTGATAGTTATTCATGGCACAACCAAGTTTTAAAGCATCTGTGCAATATTTACTTTCACCACTCGGCACTCACCACAGGCCACTACCGCACTCCACCAGCCGTTCGCGCCACATGGCGCCACCTTTTCACGCACACATGGCCACATGGAGTGAAAAGGTTCAATTTTTTTATGAAAGTGACATCATAATAATACTTGTGATGTTTTAGGGTGTTTTGAATCATGTTCATTCAATATTTGAATGATCCTTTATTTTTTCCCATTGACTTATAAAGGAGAGGACAAAAGTTTATGGTTTGCCTGACCTTAGGTCACCAATATCCAAAGTCTGAGATAATTTTTGTAGACACTGTGAAGATACTGTCACTCTTGTGAATCACTGAAAGTTTCAAGACGATCGTTAAGTCGGTGTAGCTGTGACAAGCATTCTTAATTTTCTGAGGTAAGGTCTCTTGAAGTGACCTGGTGACCTGACGTTTTGCGACCTGGGACTGAAGTTATCATGACGTGTGTGGAGAAGATGCAGGAACACGTGGCCATTTTTTGACGTATCTGCGAAAAAAACACGGAGAGTCTGAACAATCCTCAGGCCTGGCGTGGGTTAATCCTTGGATTTGAAGCTCATTATCAAATAAAGGTGACCGTTCAGCCAGGATCAAAAGACAATAAGTCTTGAGAAGGGTTTGCACCCCCTGAGGATCGAACAGAAAAAATGAGGGAAATGTCAGAAATAATGTCACTTTGTCCCAGAGAGGTGAAATTTTGAATCAAAGGTTTCCTTTGATGACATTTGAATTATGGTTGGCCACTAAGTGTGTGGGTCATGAGTATGACAGGATGGGTACCTGCCTAGGTCACTGGGATCCTTGTGTCGCTGGGCGGAGTGGAGCTGATTCGCGGACAATGATAGACTGGAGAAGATTTTGCAGAGGCGAAAAATGTTCACCAGAGTATACAAATGTTTGACAGACTACGATAATATGTGCTTACGAACAACTGTAAGGTGAATAAATGCGTGCAAAAATCACGATACAAAAATAAGAAGGATATTGAAGGAATAAAAAAAAAAATGTGAGAAAAAGATCAGCCTGGACAGATGGAGGGCCTAGTGGTGGTAGTTCGATCTGGTTCGATCTAGCCTCATCATGGCAATGTTACCATGATTCCACAAGGATGGCATCAGTAAGACCTTATGTGTGGTCATCTATGCTCATTTGTTTTGTTTTTCAGATAGGTATGTCCAAAAACAAGTTGAACCTCACCCTTCCATCAATAGCAGCAAATGTGAACGGACCCGATGCCACCAGCCCTCCCAACAAGACACCTTCCGAGTGAGTATCAGCATTTAAACCCTCGCCGTCGTACCTACCGGTTCTCTTCATATTGGTTTTTGTTCCAAGTTTACCATGCATAGCGGTGCATAGCGGTTATCATAACTATAAACCGCTTGTTTGTTACCACTGTGATACCCCACTTTTACCGCACCATAACCGTCAAAGCCCTTCACTGTTGCCACGGCTATCATGTGTCACCGTGCTTTTGCCTTCCTATTACCATCACACCTTATCTCCCTTGTACCGTACTGAGTTACCATTCCCACCATGCCCTCTCCGTGGTTCCCATGCCCCCGTCTCCGCCAGCCCCGCGGTACACGCCAGCGTCGTGAGCGGCGCCTACTCTGAGGATGTGATCGCCAAGATGCAGCAGATGCAGCTGGATGACACCACGCGTCGCCGGCTGGAGAGCTTCCTGGAGCAGAAGCAGCGCGTCGGGGGTCTGCTGCAAGCGGAGGACCTCGAGAAGCTGGGAGAGCTCGGCGCCGGGAACGGAGGTGTGGTCATCAAGGTGCGACACAAGCCCACCGGCATCATCATGGCCAGGAAGGTGAGTGGCGGTGGGGACGGGGGGGGGGAGCTGGGGAGTTGTACGGCCCGCGGGAAGGGGTTGATGCTGTATTTCAAAAATTTTAACACTGGGAGCCATAAGAAGGGGAGGTGTGCTGTCCGCTTAGGTTGTTGGATAAGGGAAAGGAACGGTAGCTGCCGCTGGTCAATCAGCGATGTCCTTTGTTCAGATGAAATATGACAACTTAGAATGCTGCGAAAAGAACAGAGCGTTTGGACTAGAAATTGCGGAGGCTATCCAGCATGCCTGCTGACGCTAGTCTGACACACAGCCGTGCTGAAATATGACACTTCTGTCCCGACCGACGCGTCGTTTTTGGGTTGCTACCGCTGCCGGTGCCGCTCCAACAATGTTGTGCGCTGACTCGCTATAATGACGTATGCCTCGTAATGACTCGCTGAGCTGTCCTGACACATCGCCGTCGATCGTTTACAGTTGATTCACCTGGAGGTAAAGCCGGCCATCAAGAACCAGATTATGCGCGAGTTGGAGGTACTCAATCAGTGCTTTTCACCGCAAATTGTCGGCTTCTTCGGCTCCTTCTACAGGTAGGTGGGAAACGAGCTCAGCGTGCAAATCTGAGCGCCCGCGTGGCAGCAAAATGCACTTACATCTATCAAGCACGCATTGGGCCGTTCTTGGTAGACTACGATCTAGCATTACACCTACAAAACCTGCCATTACACCGGTAATGATTTCCGTTGTAACAGTACACCGGTGATTTCGAGCCGCCGGTGATCGGCACCGGAGCATTAGCCGGTGCTGCTAAGTTTAGTTTCCTCCACGCATAGGAAAGTGCAGGCCAGTTTACCAACCCCTATCATTTCGTGCATCTCACTGTTACTTATATGCCGTCGGTGAATTTCGCCGCAGCCGTGTTAAGTGTAGGATATCATCTAGGGAAGGTTTCGGCATTAATGAAGGCATCGTAGGTAATGTGTGATCCCTCGTAAAATGGCGCCATAAGAACCTCTAATTAATTATTGACAGTGTATGTCAGTCCTGGCGAGGTTTGCTTTGCCGTGCAGTTCATAACTGCCCTATAGCTGGTAGACTATGCTGAATATATCCGCGATGTTTCGGGTCACATGCAGTGTATACACATGCGTTCACCAGAGGTGTTCTATGCTATTCATTTACTGATCGTGGCTGACGGAATGATGGTTGGAATGAAACCCGTGGGCAGCTCGGGAAGGGGATCTGGCCGATGAATGGGGGTGAGAGCGACGTGGGGAGGAGAGGGGAGACCGAGAGCGGAAGTTTTCGTTGGAAGCAGCAGAGGCTCGATCGCACGAGCCTCGATCAGGTTTGGAGTATTAATAGGTGTTCCGCCTCTTACCTCATGCTCTCCACGCCTTTGACTTGTCACATGCATGGGTCAATCGGGCACGACGACATAGACTGCTGTTTGTGTGAGGTGACCTTAGCCAACCTGACACTGAAACTGACGGGCCGAATGCTCCTCTCACAGCCCTTCATGGTTTAGAAAATTGTTTTGCATCACCCGCACCGAGGGAATATTATTATGACTATTTTACTGTAGAAACATCTCTTATTGCGCTCTCTAAAATGAGATCTTTATACATGCTGAACTGCATAGCGTCTCAGTAGGTTACACAGCGGTGCAAAACTTCATTGGCGGCACCGCAGCTGGTCATGTGACCTTGTCAGCGCCGAGTCATTGCTATGCCGTCTCCGGCACTGGCGGATCCAGGCTTGCGTTTTGGGGGGGGGGGGCCAACTCATGCAGGAGCCAAACCTAGGGTACCCCCAAATCCTGTTTTCTCATCGGATTTAGGCCACTTATTTTTCGTCACAGCCCTGACACTATGATTTTTTTTTTAACTAAAAAGAAAAATATATAAATGGTAGCCCACCCGACCCATGCCTTTATATTACTTTGTAAACACTTACCATTGTTTTTATCGACCAGTTAAAGGGACCCTCCCACCTTAACATTAGATTTGAGCTGAGATAGCCAAAATGGGGTCCCTGGCTCACAATTACCGGTTTCGGCACGCACTCACAACATCGAGAAATGCCTTAAATCGGAAATATTGAATTTCAAAATTGCAGCATTTTGATTCAGAGGGGCTAATGCTTTTGGATACTTCTCTGAATGTGTGACGTCAGCGGAGATCTAATATTTTTTTAATATTTTACTAAAACGTTTGGTAGCATGCGGTGGTATAGGCTGCTTTGCGCGCAACAAATGCCGCACTTTCAAATAAAGTCGCTAGGAACAGCAGCGGATATCCCAAAAATTAAACAAAAATAAAAGTCTAATCTCTTGAAAACCGGTGAATATTTTTCGATAAAATTTGGTAGATATTCGTTTTCGCCCTTTCTGAACCTAGCGACATCACTTTCATGCCAATTCATTAACTTTTTTGAAGGTGGGAGGGTCTCTTTAACCCGCTTCGAGTCAGTGCTTGGGTCCCTTTGCGGGCCGGGAGGTGGTAAAACAGCCCTGTCTAACTCGACTCCTGGGCCACGCCCTGATTGAACTATGTTTCATTATCGTTTGGGGGAGGGGGAAAACGGGCCACTTTAGGCCTCTGGGAAGGGGGCATGGCCCTAAATGCCCCCTCCCTGGATCCGCCAGTGTAAGAAGAGACCATTGGAGCTGCAGTGGGGTACCTCAGACATCAGGGTACGCCCTCAGATGTATGTATAGGACTCGCATGGAGACCTCTTATGCTATAGTGTACTGAAAGGACCCAAAGGAGTCTGTCTATATGGGCTCCCGGAGATAGACGTGGGCCCTCAGGAGCCCGCCAGAGCCCCAATGAGGGATAAGTGGGGGAATTACCAAGTGCCTGCAATTGCATATTGCATAAGCCATAACGCCTTTACAAATCAATATATTATGCATCAGTGGCAGATCCAAGGGGGGCCACATGGGTCATGACCCCTTGGTGCCCGGGGGCACCACAGGCCTGTCAGGGGCACCACCGGCCTAGTAGGGGCACCACCAGCCCGCCAGGGGCACCACAGGCCTAGCAAGGGCACCACGGGCCTGTGAGGGGCCCCACAGGCTTGTCAGGGGCACCCCAGGTCTGTCAGGGACACCAGAGACCTGCCAGGGGCGCCGCCGGCCTCGCAGGGGCACCATGGGCCTGTCAGGGACACCAGAGGCCTAGCAGGGGTACCACAGGCCTTACAGGGGCACCACCGGCCTTGCAGGGGCACCTTGGGCCTGTCAGGGGCACCACAGTCCTGTCAGGGCCCAGGGGCACCAGCGGCCTAGCAGGGGCACCACAGGCCTGCCAGGGGCACCACCGGTCTAGCAGGGGCACCATGGGCCTGTCAGGGGCCCCACCGGCCTCGCAGGGGGCACCACCGGCCTCGTAGGCATCACGGCATCACGCAGGGGCACCTTGGGCCTGTCGGGGGCATCACGGGCCTGTTGGGGGCACTTTAGGCTTGTCAGGGGCACCACAGTCCTGTCAGGTCCCAGGGGCATCAGCAGCCTAGCAGGGGCACCCTAGGCCCGCCAGAGGTACAGCCCACCGCTAAAGTAATGTAGGGTTTTACCAAACTCAACGGTTGGCTTTGACTGGCGATTGTTTAATGCGAAGTGATTGAAAAGAAGATGTCAATAGCTAAAGTTGCAGCTGCAAGGGTGACGATACATATAAGCTACATTCAAAGTTTCATTGTAGTCTGGCTAATCGTTCCTAAGCTTCAGAAGCAGAACATACCCATGACTGAAACCCCACATTACTTCTGCTGTGGACTGTACCACAGGCCTGCCAGGGTCCAGGGGCACCACAGGCCTAGCAAGGGCACCACGGGCCTGTCAGGGGCACCTCAGGCTCCCGTGCCCCCCCCCCCTCCCCCCCCAGATCCGCCAGTGATGCCACACCACGCGAAACACCGCCAACTACCAGCTGCCGCGCCATAAACACGTGCCAACAACAGTCTTTTTTTAAGGTCGACTCCGCTCGCGCAACTTTTGACTGACCCTCACTGCTACTATATTGCTTCCATATTATGCTGTGGAAAGCTTTACTTCACCAAGTGGCTAAAAACCTCCATCAAGGTATATTTTCTTAGCAATTTTTCTGGCGTTTTTTGGGGGGGGGCCAAACAGGCCACTTTAGGCCTTTGGGGGGGGGCCATGGCCCCCGTGGCCCCCCCCCCCTGGATCCGCCAGTGGTCTCCGGTGGTCAATTTATCTGCACCCCCCCCCCCCCTCCCCTCCCCATCCCCGCCCTCGCTCAAACTCAGACAAAACCCCAGCAGCACGTAACCGTGCTACTGGCATTGGTGGACCACCCTGATAGGCCGGCCCAATGCCAACCTGAGGCTACCTACTGCGACGTGTGACTCAATCAATATCTGCGACTGATTAGGTCCGAACTTTTGATAGGATGTTTTTTTTTTCTGGTTTACGTTGAGCTCGTATTCCGGCATGGATTGTAACGCGAGCTCTCTCTCTCTCTCTCTCTCTCTCTCTCTCTCTCTCTCTCTCTCTCTCTCTCTCTCTCTCTCTCTCTCTCTCTCTCTCTCTCTCTCTCTCTCTCTCTCTCTCTCTCTCTCTCTCTCTCTCTCTCTCTCTCTCTCTCTCTCTCTCTCTCTCTCTCTCTCTCTCTCTCTCTCTCTCTCTCTCTCTCTCTCTCTCTCTCTCTCTCTCTCTCTCTCTCTCTCTCTCTCTCTCTCTCTCTCTCTCTCTCTCTCTCTCTCTCTCTCTCTCTCTCTCTCTCTCTCTCTCTCTCTCTCTCTCTCTCTCTCTCTCTCTCTCTCTCTCTCTCTCCTCTCTCTCTCTCTCTCTCTCTCTCTCTCTCTCTCTCTCTCTCTCTCTCTCTCTCTCTCTCTCTCTCTCTCTCTCTCTCTCTCTCTCTCTCTCTCTCTCTCTCTCTCTCTCTCTCTCTCTCTCTCTATCTCTCTATCTCTCTATCTCTCTATCTCTCTATCTCTCTATCTCTCTATCTCTCTATCTCTCTATCTCTCTATCTCTCTATCTCTCTATCTCTCTATCTCTATCTCTCTATCTCTCTATCTCTCTATCTCTCTATCTCTCTATCTCTCTATCTCTCTATCTCTCTATCTCTCTATCTCTCTATCTCTCTATCTCTCTATCTCTCTATCTCTCTATCTCTCTATCTCTCTATCTCTCTATCTCTCTATCTCTCTATCTCTCTATCTCTCTATCTCTCTATCTCTCTATCTCTCTATCTCTCTATCTCTCTATCTCTCTATCTCTATCTCTCTATCTCTCTATCTCTATCTCTCTATCTCTCTATCTCTCTCTCTCTCCTCTTTGTCTCTCTCGACTGTTGCAGTGATGGTGAACTCAGTATAGCTATGGAATACATGGACGGTGGATCGTTGGACCTGGTGCTGAAACAGATCGACCGAATCCCGGAGAAAATTCTGGCCAAAATCACATCGGAGGTAAGTATGTTATCAGTTGCAGAAAGAATAAAAGCATGTTGCAATAGCCAGGTAGAGACTGCAGGTAAGACGCCTGTGATTCTCGTGGAGTGTTGTTGTATTGTCGTGATGTGGCAGTGTCAATGTTTTGTGCGTCGTTGATTTGATGTTATTCAATTTACGGGCAGATTCTGTAGTTTTTGTCGGTACCTACTTATATAATTATTGTCAGGGGAATAGCAGTAGATGGCGGCTTTATGCTAGGACGTAATGTGTTATTGCCAAACAAAGATTGTAAATATGCATTATGTATTACACACATCCTGTCTGTTGCTCTTATTATGTTGCATTATTATGCTTGCATTATGTGCACTGTAATTGACAACATCATATATGCATTTTACACTAGTTCGGAATGATGAAGCACTACAATAGTTTGTCCTTGTTTGCCGTCTGGAGCAGCCTGAGACACAAATAACGCGTATGGGCGTCAGCATTATGGCTGACAATTGGCACCGCCGCTGTAGCGAACGGTGCCTGAGAATTGTATCAATGGATCGGTTGGCACGCTAAATGATATTTTCTCACGCCATTGTGCCGGCGGTCCGCTCACATCCTAAGGTGGGTTTTTGTCGTCGCCTTGTGACCTTATTACGTTGTTTCGCTTCCGTGTGTGTTGTGTGACTGCTAAAACACAGTTAGTCGGCAATCGTTACTGATATTCGTATCGTACTTCCCGTCAAACGTCTGGAGCCGCAACTTTCACCTGGATTGGCGATATCTTGCCGTCTCGGAGCCTGTGTGTGGGGGTGGGGGGAGGGGTCCGTACCCCTTATCATGGTGCCCTTGTGGAACAGATGGGTTTAGGTTGAGGGGGGGGGGGCTGCCTTTTCCGGTGGCCAGCTTGCGGTGTGGGTGGTCGACTCGGAGCTGTTGGTGCTAGGAAAAGTTCTCCTGGGCCTCGTCGCACATTTATGCTGTGTAAGGTTGCCGTTCAAATACATTAGGAGGACTCAATAAGGCTATTTTCCCGTGTCTGACGTGTAATGGCAGCTGCTGTAATTGCTGTTAGGGCTTAATCCTGTTTTAAACAACAATGCTTAGGCTTACCGATCATAATGGCTATTTTTGGCTCCCTATTTCTTTTTTCGGGTTTCACTATACTATTACCCGTAGTATTGAATGCGTTAATCTGGCATAAGCTGAGTAATTGACTACCTTTACATGTTTAGTTAGTTAGCTTTTAGATCCCTTGAACGACCACCACCTGCTGCCGTTGCTGCCTCAGGTGCTGAAGGGCCTGTCGTACCTCCGCGAGCTGCACCAGATCATACACCGGGACGTCAAGCCGTCCAACATCCTCATCAACAGCCACGGCGAGATCAAGCTGTGCGACTTCGGCGTGTCTGGACAGCTGATTGACTCGATGGCCAACTCGTTCGTCGGCACGCGCAGCTACATGTCGGTGTGTACACACTTGTTTTATTAGTGTGACGTTATGGGCGCAAAATGACCTTAGTAGTCTGTGCGCCCTAAAGCCCCAATAAACAAGCAAACCAACAAGGGGGCAACCGTCCGTGGGCTCAACGTCTCACCTTCGGGAGACAACCTGAGAGGATTCAGACAGGAGGACACTACTCAAATTACAATCAGTCTTGCTAAACGCTGATGGTGGTGCTCTTCAGCTTTAAGTGCTTTTTACTCGTGTCTCGTACTATTTATTTAGTCTCACAGTTATGCAATAGCTTTTTTTTTTCGTTCGTTCATGCAAAGCTAGCGCTCTTCAGCTAAGGACAGCTCAACTTATCTCAAGCCACCTGTTTACAGTCTGCGTATTTAGCGAACGTTACTTGTTAACCGTCCTCCTCCTCACCCCCTCTGTCCGTCTATCTGTGCCGTTTTTTTTTTCCAGCCGGAGCGCCTGCAGGGCATCCATTACTCGGTGCAGAGCGACATCTGGTCGCTGGGCCTCTCGCTGGTGGAGATGGCGCTGGGCCTGTACCCCATCCCGCCGCCCGACTACGCCTCGCTGGCGCAGAAGTTTGGCGCTCAGTTCACCGAGATCGCACCCCACCGCGTCGCCTCGCCCATCACCAAGTCGCCCAAATCTGGTGAGAAGGGAGCTGAGGGAATAGAGAGGGAATGGCGAGAGAAATCATGTGAGGGATTGGAGGGAATGATGGAGAGGAAAGGAATAGGATGGACGGGAGGGAACAATGATGGAAAGGATGAGAGGGATGGGTCAAGGACAGTCTTTTGGGGAGGGCCGTACATCACGACAGAGCGACGCTTTGCGTGTTTGCTAATTTGTAGTCTACTTGTTTGGCTTCATGTCACAATTGCCTCCCAATCTCACCGAGCGTCACGGTGCACTCGGTGACCGCAACATGCCTGTAAGTTACAGGCGGGGGCAATGGTTACAGGTTATGATATAACTATTGCGGTTTGTTAGGCTAGTCACAACACATGTGTCAGACGTGTGTGAGCGTCAAACGACTCTCATCTCCCCTGACACGTCTCTGTTCTCTGTTCCCTACCGACCGTTAGCTCCCAATTCCGGTAAGTCGTTCGTATCGGCCGTGGTCCCAAGGCCGCCCGAGGACAGTGTGACTTAGCCTGAGGCTGTTCAGTTCAGCCCCGGTGATTAGGCGCTATTGCGCTGTAGGAGTTGGCTTCTATGAGCAGTCGAGCCACGATGTGGCGTTAGCCGTCTGTGTTTTGAGTTTTAGCTGAGCTTCGCTTATAATCACGTATGGACCAGTATAACGCCTTTTGGGGCGACTAACGGAGCGAGCGAGAGGGTGGGCCTTGCACGTGCGAAATTGCGAGGGGGTACCTCCAACTGACTTGTGCACGGCACCCTACTAACTGGTCTCTAGCGATGTGCCAAATTTGGGCACAATCGGCCCAGCCGTTCTCGAGATCTGGAAGCGGCACCCTGCACGTGCGCACGTGCAAAATGGGTCCCAACTGACTTGTGCACGGCACCCTACTAACCGGTCCCTAACCGTGTACCAAATTTGAGCGCAATCGGTCCAGCCGTTCCCGAGATCTGGAAACGACCCCTGCACGTGCGCACGTGCAGCAGCACCCCAACTCTGGCACATGTATATGCAGTGCCTAGTGGGTGCCTACCTACATGCCAACTTTCAGCGCAATCGGCCAAGTAGTTACCGAGATATTGCAACAATTACAAAACTGACACCTCTTCAATTTGCACGTGGCACGTGCATAAGGGGTCACCCACATGCATCGGGAATAGTCCAATACTTGGTAGAAGGAATGAAGCTACCCTACAAAAATTACCGCGTGTAAATCGGTCAAGTGGTTGCTGAGATATAAGTCTCGCAAAAGAGTGACCACGGCCGGCCGGCCGGCCGGCCGCTCATACTCAGAAATTTCCGTTAATCTAAGGAAAGACTACGCTCGCTTCGCTCGCTCCGTAATAAAAGTTAGAACATAGACCACTATATATCTGGACTGTGCACGGGTTTTGCCGACTGCTATTAGGGCCCTGCTGGGAAATTCGACGTAGCACGCGGAATTGTGTATTGACGCTCTAGTAAGCCCATTTAAATGAAAGTTACTTCTTAAATGTGATGTATATTTTAATAAATGTATAATTTATAGCATGATTTTTAACACGATAAATAAATAAAAGCACTTATAGACAGGTATATCACACTGTATTAAGTTCAAAGCATCAATAGACAGGAACAATCCGTGATCGGTCGTTTTTGACAAGAGACAGTCTGACGACATATTGGACACACTGCAGATTAATTTGCCTGTCTAAATCAGACACGCACCCGGCTCAATGCTTTGAAAGCCCACACGATCTGCGCCACGGAATTACGAAGATTCCTATGGGTAAATAACAAAGCTGCCGGTGTGCGTTTTTAGCGAGACCGTCCGAGGTGACCTGCTGGGCCACAACTGTTCCCTGCTTCCACTGAGGCCGATTTCATGCTCAGCATAGGGACAGACGGGTTCTGTCATCTGTCCCTCTCGAGAGAAGGGGACTTTTGAACTGAACACCGTGGTCAGTGACGGTGGCCGCATTTTGCAGCGGGTGATGGCGATCGAGATTCGAGATTTAGACGGAGTCACGAGATCTCGGTTCACTGGACACTGCAGCAGAGCTTCGCACTTAGGAATGCACTTTCTTATAGTTCTTGTGCTACATTTGCCTTTAGTTACTATTCGAATTGTAAATCCACATCTGAAATTCTCAGCCATGTAGGTATCTTACACACCGACGAATAGGATCGTAGTTATTGATTGCATAGACAAACTGATCCCAGGAATGTTGCATTGTGTTTACGTCCTGCGGCTCAACCTTTCTCATTTTCATGAAGCTTTCTTATTTCATGAAGCTCTGTTCGCGCATCGCTGGTGTTGAGTGACGGTATACTGTCCATATTGACTCCATGAATTGCAATGTTTGTTTTTCGCTCAACTATACACATCAATGTGTTGAAGGAATGCAGGTCGTAGCGTTGTAACTTGAGGTGCTTCTCGACAGTGTGACTCCCTCAGCGAGCAATGTGAAGAAAGTTATCGTTTTCCTTTACAATGGTAGTCGCGCTGTCTTGAAACACACGTTTGAAGCTATACGCGTGCCGAAGAGAGAGCGACTCGGCAGCTGTTACCAGAGCAGGACCCATTGCTTGCATGCAGGAGCGGAACACAGATTGCTGATGTGGGCACGCCAGCTCTCCGCAAGCCATAACATATGTGACCATCACTTGACCAAATTGCAAGACTTTAGCTAGTTTTGGGCTTCACTTGTGACTGATATTATAGGAGCCGCCAGTCTGGAAACGGATCCGCCACCTCTCCTTACAGTTGTCTTCTGCTCAATTTTTCGGTCTCGGCCAGCGTCACAGCATGTAATAAAACTCACAGGGAGCCCAGTGGTCAGAATTCCAAGACATTTTCAGCTTTAGGGCATATAGAAATTGACTTCATATTGATGCCTTAGCCAGGAACCGGAAAACTGACATTGTTGCATGCACTGTCTTGGCTCTTTGAATATGCTCACTCCCTGTTCTGTTCATAGGATATTCTGAAGTGATTATCACTAGCGGCACATTTTACTGTATTTCAGTGGCATGTATGCATTAAAAGGTTTCATTTTATTTAAAGACAAAAGAGAACTATCCCGCATGTCAATGATAAACAACAAACAACAATAATCTTGCAAAAATCTTCGCTACATGTCTGTGAAAATTTGCTAATTCTCGTGAAAATTAGCTGGGAACCATCATCCACACCATGTTAAATCATGGAAGAAATGGGCAGAAAATGCCCTTCTTTTTTCGATGATTGCGCTAATATTATATATTTTTTGCTCAATGTAAGATATAACTCAGATTACAAATTGACTAGTGGTGATGTTTCCCAAAGCACATCATCATATGGCGAATAAGTTGGCTGTGACAACCTTCGAAAGTTAGGGCCCTAATGGCAGGGCCCTAATTTCCGTGCACAGTCCAGATATATAGTGGTCTATGGTTAGAATCATTGCATCCATGCATTTTCCACGATTGAAAGTGAATAGGGTGTGCGGAGTCTGATGGCCGCTCCTTTTTGCTTGGTGATCTTATTTCCAGCTGTGCTGCACAGTGCACACTGCACATGTGTGCGTATGCTTTTGGCATGGCACACTTGTGGAGCTATTTCGGTATTTTTAAATATTTCCGAACAGCTTTGATTGAGTTTTGGCAGCTGTGTCTCTTACCCTTTAAAGTGTGTTCACCCTGGGTTAATTGTCTTCTGTTTATTACGAGCGAGCGAGCGCAGCGAGCGAGCGAGTTCATACTGAATTAAGGGAAAATCCTGAGTATGAGCGGCCGGCCGGACGCTCTTCAAAAGCTAATATCTTAGGAACGGGACATCCGATTGACAAGCGGTCTTCTTTACTGAATGTCACTTGGACGTAAAAGTTCTGTGGTGTAATGGCCACCATGCGTTCTTGCCAACCACCGCACGTGGCGCGTGGTAAAGTTGGACATTTTTTAAGAACCCCAAAATTGCAACCTCAATAACTGCACAACGGTTGGGCCGATTGAATTGAAACTCGGTACACACTTAGGTCTCCATCAGATAATTCATCTGCATGTGTTAAGGTTGGGGTGCTACTGCACGTGCGCACGTGCAGGGGGCGTTCTCAGATCTCCAGAACGGCTGGGCCGATTGCGCTCAAATTTGGTACAGGGTTGGGGACCGGTTAGTAGGGTGCCGTGCAAAAGTCAGTTTGGACCCCGTTTGCACGTGCGCACGTGCAGAATGCCGCTTCCAGATCTCAGGAACAGCTGGGCCGATTGCGTTCAAATTTGGCACACCGCTAGCGACCGGTTAGAAGGGTGCTTTGCACAAGCGCGTTGGAGGTACCCTCTCGCCCTTCCGCACGTCCAGGGCTCACCATCTCGCTCGCTCGTTCTTCGCCCAAAAGGCGTTTTACTGGTTGTGTAGTAAGGTTCCGTTGCTGCACGTTTTGCGTCTCACCCTAATTTGTTTACAATGCTGGTACACGTATATTTGGGTATGTTTTCGGATCGTCACTAACCGGGCGCAGGCAGGGGCAGTGGTGGATTCGCAACAGGCACGGCTTAGCGTGGCACTCAGGTCCACAGCCATCCTTTGCACGACTCGGATACAATACCCTAAAGATATGTGTACTTTACCGACCGTCTTACTGGTTTTATGTCTAATTTCAAGAATGTTTTTAACTCAAAATCGAAATCGCGAAATCAAGGTCACATGGATACCGGGTCATGCAGGCATCACGGGCAACGAGCGAGCGGACCGAGCCGCCAAGGAAAGTCTCCAGGACCCTCCAAACGACTCGCTCCCATGCCCGGCATCCGACCTCCTAAATTCACTATTCGCCGCCTTTAAACAATCAGTACAATTCGATTGGGACATCAATCCCCACTATCACCTCCACCCAATCAAACCCCTTCTTAAACCATGGCCCTCATCGAATCAGAACACCAGACTAAAAGAAGTGATTCTCGCGAGACTCCGGATCGGTCACACAGAACTCACACATACCTATATTATCGAGCAAACTCCGCCTCCTCTATGCCATCGATGTAATTACGGAGCGAGCGAAGCGAGCGTAGTCTTTCCTTAGATTAACGGAAATTTCTGAGTATGAGCGGCCGGCCGGCCGGCCGGCCGTGGTCACGCTTTTGCGAGGCTTATATCTCAGCAACCACTTGACCGATTTACACGCGGTAATTTTTGTAGGGTAGCTTCATTCCTTCTACCAAGTATTGGACTATTCCCGATGCATGTGGGTGACCCCTTATGCACGTGCCACGTGCAAAACGAAGAGGTGTCAGTTTTGTAATTGTTGCAATATCTCGGTAACTACTTGGCCGATTGCGCTGAAAGTTGGCATGTAGGTAGGCACCCACTAGGCACTGCATATACATGTGCCAGAGTTGGGGTGCTGCTGCACGTGCGCACGTGCAGGGGTCGTTTCCAGATCTCGGAAACGGCTGGACCGATTGCGCTCAAATTTGGTACACGGTTAGGGACCGGTTAGTAGGGTGCCGTGCACAAGTCAGTCGGGACCCATTTTGCACGTGCGCACGTGCAGAGTGCCGCTTCCAGATCTCGAGAACGGCTGGGCCGATTGTGCCCAAATTTGGCACATCGCTAGAGACCAGTTAGTAGGGTGCCGTGCACAAGTCAGTTGGAGGTACCCCCTCGCAATTTCGCACGTGCAAGGCCCACCCTCTCGCTCGCTCCGTTAGTCGCCCCAAAAGGCGTTATACTGGTATAAGATATACAATCCAACATTTTCTTCTACATTGCCCCCTATACGACGTTGAAAGACAACCGATGAAAAGATATACGACTACTAATCAACTTCCAATGACGCTCCCTACTCTTCTTGGTGATTCAAATCCAGACCTACTTGACCTTCTTTTCGTTTTTCTACACAATACTAAACTTGAACGATCCATATAGCACAGTCTCGCGCTCAGTTCCGTGGTCGGCAAGCCGTCGATAGCGGTTCTGGGCGCGGGACTCAATCTTCTTGATTTCCTGGATACTGGCCATGTCAATTAAGGAGCCCCGAGCTTACGGGCACCAGCCGCCGCCGCGGGGACCATTGGCACGCGGCGGCGGGCTCCTCTGCCCCCCATCTGCTTGGAGAAAGAGGTGTCGGCACTATGCCGTCCGCAACGACCCGTTTAATGGATTGTTACGTCACTGGAGTCCGCACTGAAACGTCAGTTCTCTAATCATACCAGTCAGCACTTGGTGGGAGTTTGCAGGAGCCCCGAGCTTACGGGCACCAGCCGCCGCCGCGGGGACCATTGGCACGCGGCGGTGGGCTCCTCTCCCCCAATTCATTGGAGACATGATTTTCTCTTGGTTTCTCTTGGTTTTCTCGTGTTTCATTGTGATTGTTTTGTTTCAATTGTTCTTGTTTTCCCTTACGTTTGCGAGCGCGCGTGTTTGCGTCCCTCCGGCGGCGGCGGCGGCGGCAATCGGGACCTGCCCATCCCTCTCGCGGTTCTCGACAGGGATCCCTCTTAAAGGTTGAGGCCCACTCGAGACACCGAAGCTATCTGGCCGGACACCCCGGGCGTGGCCTAGGTGGCTTGCATCCATGGCCCCCGGGAGTGGATGAAGGCGATAGCTCCACAAACACACTTACACATTAGCGATATAACGTAACGTAATATCAAAGCAAAGGGATTTTTCCTGTGCAATTTGGCAAAAGCGCACAGGTTTTGCCCTCTAAGATAGGCACCAGGTTTTTCTAGTTAGGACTTTCCTGGTGGAACTCACAACACAACAACAGCACACATTACAACACTACCACATTTCAGCATCAAGATTCAGCAGCAAGAAATGTAAGTACTCAAAATCCCTCTCGGCACTGCCACTCTGGCACCCTTTCTGGCTTTCCCTTGCACTTGCTCCCACCGGACGTCACATGAGCCGGTCTAACGTAAACTTTGCTCTTGATACTGCCTTGGGCCGGAATAACATAGCCGGCATTAAAGTAAAGTAAAACGGAAGATCTGGCTAATTGCCAGCTAGTAACTTCCCCCTACCCCGACCAGGGCCTCGGCCTGTCGGGAGCAAAATTCAAAAAAAAAAAAGCACGGTATCTGCATTAAACGTTGCCCCAAATTCACGTTCTGGTTGCCCTCCCTTCCCCAGCTGGCGTGGGTAACGGTCGTCAGCTGGCCATCTTTGACCTGCTGGAGCACATTGTCAACGAGCCGCCGCCGCGGCTCCCGCAGGGTCTGTTCAGCGACGAGTTCGTGGCCTTCGTGGACAGCTGCCTGAAAAAGAACCCCGACGAGCGGGCCGACCTCAAGTCGCTTATCGTAAGTGGGGTGGGGTACTCCGAGGGCTAGGTCTCAGGTAGTGCGGGGCAGGCCGGTGCAGCTTGCGAGGCTGTCTTATTTTATGTGGGATGGGGAATGGCGATTTTTTGTCTGATTTGCAGAATGTGTGTGTGTGGTTGACATACTGACATGCTCGGCAATGTGATGTTGATCAGGCTGATACTATTATCTACCTGGTTTGGAACGCGTCAAAAATTCTTCTGACAAACACAGTCATGTTGCTCCGTATAATCATGTATATTCGTGATTTGTTCATCATACTGAGGTCAGGCAGATGTAGCGATATCTGAACGTCCTGTGTTCGTTCTGGCAGGTTCATCCATGGATCGTTCAGGCGGAGCAGGATAACGTCGATATTGCCGGCTGGATCTGCAAGACCATGAACCTGACGCCCACCTCCGCCACGCTGAAACCCAAATAGCGACCGCCGCCACGCTAGGAACCTGGAACTGAAACTTACTATCCCGGATCATAGGTGGCGCTGGGACGCGACTTTCCGCGATCTGGACTTCCAGGATGACAAAGCCTCGCTCCCCGGCTGCCTACCGCGGTACTGATGGACCGGGTTTGCCTCTCGGAATCGGCAAAGCTCGGGATCAGTTGGTGCCCCGGGCAAAAACTCTTGACTTCGGCGGGATTCGAACCCGCGGATTCGAACTGAGCTAGTGGTCCGGTAACATGCGCGATGTTGCCTCGGGCGGTGGACGCTGCTTTCCCGTATTTGTGGTATGTGTAACCTGGATTATGTTGAGAGCAAATCGATCGCCTCTGGCAATAAGGCTTCGTCGTCGTGCAATCTTTGTCGGATTGTGACCTTTCTCGACGCGAGCGATGCGTGTCAGTTGGATGCGGCGTGGTGTCGGCTCCGGCTCTCCCAGATGTTCCCTTGCTGTCGCCTCGTCCTGTAGCTTCTCGTTTCAGTGGTTGTGTGTCGTGTGGATGCTCATTGAGTGATGTCATTCATTACGATATGACTGATCCTGGTGAAGGACCGTGGCTTCATTTTTCCGTTTGCTTGCAATGAATCCGGCGCACCATAGCGCTTAGTGACCATGCCGATGACCGATAGTGTTTTGTCATCAACGAAGAACATCTGTGGATCCTTTTGAGCTGCTCGAGTCAAGAATCAATATCTAGAATCATGCCTGAGTTTTGCGTTTTTCCGCATTGAGTGCCGCTTTAGGAGCGTTTTTGCGATATGGTCATAATAGCACCAGTGATCTTTTTGCGTCGCTTTCTGTGATGATATGTTGTCGGAAGTTGAGTGTGTATCTAGCGGTGGTAGTAAGCTTTGTCAGTGAACTGTATGCGGGGGCTTTAGAACTCTGAATCGAGTGAACCCAGAATGAGCAGGGTGAAATGCCAAGATCACTGGCACTCCAAACGGTGACTGTTGATGTTCTGATGTCGGTTTATGATCGCGGCGCCCGATCCGTGTGCCCGTTGTAATTGTGCTTCGCATTTACTCGTACTTACTGATTGTGGTAAAAATACGCACAAAAATGAAACACGAAGTGTTTTCTGCAGCGTCTGGGACGTGTACCGGTACTCGGGGACCGGGGCGGGGGATGGAAACGTGCGTCTTCTCCACCGCATTTCCATGGACCCTAAGAGGTCATTAGAAGACAGACAGACCTCCAGCTAGGCGCAAAGCACAACATATTTTATGTGCTCGTCGAGAGGGGCTGAAACGGCAAATTTGTACTACAAAAGGCTAACTGGTGATGTCATCAATGGTGTGCCAGTTACATAGGCGGCGGAACGGGGAGGGCACCGGGGCACCGTGCCCCCTTTGATTTTGGCATTTTAACATTAGCCCAATGGACGTTGCATGGAAAGAATGGGACCAAAAGTCGGCAGCGCCCCCTCCCCCTCCCCCCATTGATTGAAGGTGTTCCGCCGCTACTGGCCAGTTACGTAATTTCGTAGCCAATAGCTGTTATATAATGATTTAGGGGTTCAATAGAGAGACTATTATGTTCAATCCTAGCAAAGCTAGGTGAGCATTTCCGATTCTGTGGTGTTCATTTGTGCGACTTTGCGTATACTCGAAGTTGGTTGGTTGTTTTGTGAAGTTACGCTCACAAGTTAGTGTTTAGAACACATACTTTGAAAATCTTCTGCAAACCTGTTCTTTGTCGTCATATATGGCGCACTACTGACATTGGGTCTGTTCCCGTCGCTCCTCCCAAAAAATCTCGGATGAGGTTGGATGAGCTTGGAGGAGAGCCGTTTCAGAGGAGCCACGGGAACATTTTCGCGAGGAAATCAGCTGTTTGCGGGCCGTAACGGTCGGCGATTTATGGCGCGCAAACATAAATCAAGAGATAATAATCGTTTTCTAATAAAATAACCTTAGATTAATATCAAACATTACTATTTAAAGATATCTAATCGTCATCAATCACTAAAATCATTTCCACTTCCCTGAAATCTCATTTATAAACAATTCACATTTGTATTACATGCGCCAAATATGTCTACGCAAGAGCCTCCTCCAAAAAACCAACTTTCGTTTGGGATGAGGGAGGAGGCAAATAGTGGTGGTGAGATGTGAAATCAAGATGAGCTTGGAGGAGCTTGGAGGAGCGACGGGAACGATTTTTTTAAACGAGAGGAGGTTAGAGGAGCTTGGAGGAGGTTAGAGGAGCGACGGGAACAAACCCATTGAAAATTCCCAAATTTCAGTCAGTGGCAGTCCGTGATCTGTGTTTATGTTGTTGTGTCCTCTCAAATAAATATTTTTTATCAGTGTTCCTTTACAAAAATGAATTCACTTGCAAGGGTGGCGAATACATCCAGGGGGTGTGTGTCAGGTGAGTTTATCTTTCACTTGGGACGACTGAGTGAAATTGTCTATTTTGTGGACAAAATATGCTTGCATTTGCTTGATAATTCAATTAAAACGCATCGGTAATTTATGATGCTAATGGCTGATGACTGTCCCAGTCTGTCTAACTTGCTAGCTGTGGGAATCTGAAGAGGTGATCATATTCTATTCCTGGTTCAACAGGCGTGATTTTGTACTGGATACGTGGTTGTTGATGAATGATGTTCAGGGTAAAATGTAATTTAACATGCGATTTGGAGCTTCAATTTTTTACCATACCTATGTTAAAGTGAGCACTGAGCAGACTGCTAATTGACAGTCAGTAGGTTTATGTTGAAGCTATGTCGTAGTGCCTACTGTCAGCATTTTAAATTTGACAAGCATGTGGTTATATAATCTTGACCCATCAGAATCACTGCTTCGGTAGTCAGATCTGACTTGCCCTCTGTTTTATTCAATAACTCATGAACTGTTTAAGCTAGCAATGTGAAACATGATATGCCTTCTACATCCATTTGACATGTTGCATGCATTTCTTATGTAATTTCAATAAAATCATTGAGATATGCCCATTTTACTGACCCAGCTGGCAGCTACACAGGATTTTGTCAGAATTGGTAAATGCTTGAAAGGCTATGATGCATTCAGTTTACAAGCATTACACAAATTAAAATGTCAAAAGACACAAATGTGTCACATGAAACCAGTTATCTCAAAAATTTCCAACAATGTTTCTTCACTCATAAATTTAAAATAAAGAGCCTTGAAATGAAATTTGTATATTTTTCAAGACTTTGAATATTCATGTTGAAAAATTATAGGTGCATCATGTATCTCAAATTTTAGCCTTTTTCTCATGATTTTTACCCAAGATCACAATGATGAATAACCACCTCCATCAAATTAGTGCACAAATCCATCTCTCAAGTCACATTACAACTCTTTTTTGTTGTTGTCTCAAACCTGACCTTTTGTGACAGCTGACAGCTGACCTGACCTTGACCTTGTTTTCTGATTAGCACGACACTTTATGACACCATGATCCTACCATACCTACATAAACCTCATCATGCAGATACCCCAAAATTTGGCTTTTGATCTGATATATTGACTTGAAAGTTGACCTCAACCTTCTAATCTTAAGATTTTTTGCAAAGGTCTCATGATTTCCTGAAAATTGTGTATTTTCAAAACTAAAATGTACCTTAAAGGATAAAAACACCACTTGTAGGCTCATAGGCTGTTCTAGCATAACAAACCTTGAATGCTTAAATTATTCTTAACACACCCACACAAAAATAAGATAGACAAACCCATTAAGTCACACATTACAATTTACACACTCTGGCATCTTGCTTTCTTATGGTAATGCAGTAAACTAATGGCTTGGCCTGGTCGGCTGACTAAATGTGTGGCGGATGGGCTTTCCAGTCTAGCTGGCCCACTGTGTAACCCACTGAGTTGTGAGTAATCCTCTGCCCTGTCCCGGCAGCCCTGTCGCAGCAGCTGAGCGCACTGCAGGTTCGCCACCAGGGCACCGAGACGCCGCGCGCGCACGGCAACCTCAGCGACGATGACCGAATTTTCACCAACCTGTACGGCCGACACGACTGGCGGCTGAAGGGCGCCCTCAGCCGCGGCGACTGGTACAAGACCAAGGAGATCCTGCTCAAGGGAGCCGACTGGATCCTCGGTGAGCGGAGTGACGGCAGTGGACACAGTGGCGGGGCCTCGGGGAGGGGGAGGGGAAGGAGGGTGGCGGATGCTCGGTGTTAAACCTGCAGGGCCTTGAGGGCAGTACCAAGTTCGGATTGAGTTCTTGGTATCGGCCGAGCCTCCTGATATCTCGGCACACCGAGTGTGACGAGTGTACCTTACATCTGGTGTTACACATACCTCTTGTTGGTTGCTTTCAGTCACCTTTTTTTCATCATCATGTTTTCACTGTTTAGAATGCTTGTATACCTTCCCGAAAAAGTGTGCCTCAATCAACCATTTCCCCTCTCTCTCCCCGCGACGACAGGCGAGATCAAGGCGTCGGGTCTGCGTGGCCGCGGCGGCGCCGGATTTCCCACCGGCATGAAGTGGAGCTTCATGAGCAAGCCGCCAGATGGCAGGCCCAAGTACCTGGTGGTCAACGCCGACGAGGGCGAGCCGGGCACCTGCAAGGACCGCGAGATCATGCGCCACGACCCTCACAAGCTGGTGGAGGGGTGTCTGGTGGCCGGCCGGGCCATGGGCGCACGCGCCGCCTACATCTACATCCGCGGAGAGTTCTACAACGAGGCCAGCAACATGCAGCTGGCCATCAACGAGGTGGGTGGAAGGGATGGCATGGACGGTCGGAGGAATGGCTGTCCTCAATAACTGCCTACGTTCTTCAGCGATTTATGCTTTCTTGAAATGACCGTTTATGGAAGATGTGTGTATTTACCAGGCTACACTGTCCATTGCCTCGCATCTGTGGCTAGGGGATGCACATATGGATAGGGATGGTTGAATCAGGTTGAATCATTCTGTTGCATTTATATGAGGCGTTTTGTTTGTGCCAGAAGATGCGTATTATGCTTCGTAATATTGTATTCCTGCGGCAGTTTTGTAAGAGTGACGGCAGCGCTCGACTATTTCCCGCTTGGATGAGTAAGCACTAAAGATGAAACTAGCTTATGAAATATTCATTATATATCACCCCTCACCGTGTCTCCTCCGCCAGGCCTACAAGGAGGGCCTGCTGGGCAAGAACGCCTGCGGCTCGGGGTACGACTTTGACGTGTACATGCACCGCGGCGCGGGCGCCTATATCTGCGGAGAGGAGACGGCGCTTATCGAGTCGCTGGAGGGCAAGCAGGGCAAGCCGCGCCTCAAGCCGCCCTTCCCGGCCGACGTGGGAGTGTTCGGCTGCCCGACCACGGTGGCTAATGTGGAGACCGTGGCCGTGGCGCCGGTGAGTGAAGGGGCGGGATGTGTTCCCAGCGGCGGGGAGGAAGCTACCGGCTTGGTTGGTGACCGGATTATCACACGGCCATAACGCTAATTAACGCCAACCTGTCCCGAATGTTGACGTGCCCGTACACTCCTAGCATGGCTAACTGATGGCTTGGGTTATTGGATTGGTGACTGACTTGGTTTAGTTATGAAACGGCTGAGTCAGATCCTCAGTCTGTTTTTCAAGCGGCGGCAGTGACCGAGGTGTCACAGGACCAAAGTTGCGCCTTCTTCATACACCATAATTATAGGTATCTAAAAATGTTCTGATCTGCGTGATCTCTGTCGAATTCCTATTTGTCACATTGTTACAGCCATACGAATACCGCACGTAGACGATCTGATACATAGTTACATAACTGCCTTCAACTCTTTGTTACATAACCCTCTGATTTTATAACTTCCCCATCATCCCGTCACTCTCTTGACGTCACAAATATTTCCCGTTCGTCAGACCATCTGCCGCCGAGGAGGCACCTGGTTCGCGGGCTTCGGCCGGCCGCGTAACACGGGCACCAAGCTGTTCAACATCTCGGGTCACGTCAACAACCCGTGCACCGTCGAGGAGGAGATGTCCGTGCCGCTCAAGTAGGTGACGCGACCTGATGTTAGTGATTGTGTCATGTCATTGCCATTATGTGTCATTTTGATGGTGTCATGGAAGCCGCTGAAGTGTTTTGTGGTGTGGCTGCT